GAAGGGGCAGAGGAACTAGAGACCAAATTGCTAACAAGCGCTGGATTATGGAGAAAGCCAGAGAGTTCCAGATAAACATCTACTTCTGCTTTATTGACTATGCAAAAGCCTTTGACTGTGTGGACCACAGCAAACTATGGCAAGTCCTTAAAGAAATGGGAGTGCCTGACCACCTTGTCTATCTCCTGAGAAAAGCTGTATATTGTCCCCCGGCTTATTTAACTTATATGCAGAATACATCATGTGAAAGGACAAACTCCGATATGCAGATGATACCACTGTGATGGCAGAAAGTGAGGAGGAATTAAATAACCTCTTAATGAGGGTGAAAGAGGAGAATGCAAAAAATGGTCTGAAGCTCAAGATCAAAAAAACTAAGATCATGGCCACTGGTCCCATCACCTCCTGGCAAATAGAAGGGGAAGATATGGAGGCAGTGACAGTTTTTACTTTCCTGGCTTCATGATCACTGCAGATGGTGACAGCAGCCGTGAAATTAAAAGACGCCTGCTTCTTGCTTCTTGGGAGGAAAAGGATGACAAACCTCGACAGCATCTTAAAAAGCAGAGACATCACCTTGCCAACAAAAGTCCGCATAGTCAAAGCTATGGTTTTTCCTGTAGTGGTGTCTGGAATTGAGAGCTGGTCCATAAAGAAAGCTGACCACTGAAGAATTTATGTTTTTGAATTGTGGTGCTGGAGGAGACTCTTGAGAGTCCCCTGGACTGCAAAGAGAACAAACCTATCCATTCTAAAGGAAGTCAACCCTGAGTGCTCACTGGAAGGACAGATCCTGAAGCTGAGGCTCCAATACTTTTGTCATCTCATGAGAAGAGAAGACTCCCTGGAAAAGACCCTGATGTTAGGAAAGTGTGAAGGCAAGAGGAGAAGGGGATGACAGAGGACGAGATGGCTGGACAGTGTCATCAAAGCTACCAACATGAATTTGACCCAACTTTGGGAGGAAGAGGAAGACAGGAGGGCCTGGCGTGCTCTGGTCTATGGGGCCACGAAGAGTCGGACATGACTAAACAAATAAACAACAACAAGGCCTATTGAGGTGTTGTATATATAAGTTAACTCAATATGTAAGGATGTGAATGTGCTAGCCCCCACTCCCACAGTCATTGGGCTCACCTGAAAAGTGGGAGAAGCACTTGAATGCCTTGAGGCTGTCTGCATGGTGGCAAATGCTAATTCCTCAAGGTTGTGGCTCTCCTGGAGCACCTCCACATATACAAGACATTCTGCACCTTTCATGTAAGTAAAGAAGTTGGGGGGGAGGAGACTCCATAGCACGCTCCTCTTATGTGTTTGGTTAACCATTATAGAGAACCTCCAATTATATGTTGCCAAAAGAGAACAGAAGAGGATGCAGGTTTGCATAAAGTTTCCCTATGTTCACTTTTATGTGTAAGTGCAAATTTAATACATGGCTGTAAGAAATAGAAATGGAGTATCTGTCACAGAATGGGAGGGAAACTCTGCCCAAGTAATTGTGTGCGTGATCAGTCTGCTGTCTAGGTGTCAGCTCTTCAGTAGCCAACTAACTCTGAAGCCTTCCTTGGAGCTTCTGATCTTTCAGTGGGACTTGGACTGGAGAGGTCGTCAAATTCATATCAGCCCTTTCACACATATGATTGTCTTTTGTAAACAAGACACTTGACCACCCTGGTTGCAGTTCCATAAACCAAGTTCATTTGGAGCAACCTCTCATGCCATTTGGTTGCTGTGCGCAGCACATTCTTTTGCTATTAAGGCACAATTAGATCCTCTGCCGGGTTTGAAGGAAACAAAGTAAAGGTGCTGCTGTTAGAATCCAGCTTGAAAGAGCATTTATGAGTTTCCTGCATGAATGTATGACTATAATGGACAACTGTGTTTCAACAGCATTTTCACTGTGCTTGTATGTTGTTTGATGCCTTCAGCAGTGCCAGCCAAAACAAATAGAGCTTCCAGACTAAATGAATTTTAGGCATGCTACAAAGTGTAATTAGAAAGGTGTATTTGGGAAGGGCACTGCCATTAAACCAACACTTAATGTTTGGATTGTGCCTTAACAGGGGTGGATCCAGATGTCCTTGTTTTTCAGAAGCTCTCTTTTAAAGATATGAATACCAGGTCCTCTTTTAATAAAGGGGAAAGGCATGGAAGCGCAAGATTCGCTGATTCAGAAAAATGCCAGAATGCAACCACAAACTCAAGGTACCTTCCCCATGAGATCTCATCTTTCAAAGTCATGCAACAGCTGGCTACAAACAGCACCAAGACAAATCCTGCAGATCAGTCCACCCAACAGACTACATCCACTACAAATTCAGGACCTACAACTGCATTACTGAAAGGCCATTTTACAGACATTATTTCAGAAAATAACCATTCAACAGCCATCTTTGACAATGCAACCTTTCCTACTTCCTTATTCACCTTTGTCAAGAGATTGTCACATATACCCAGCCCAGCCCATATGAATAACAGCAAACACCTGAATGAAACCAAAGGTTATAGTGGAAGGAACAACACCTCTGATGACCAAGGCCAGACACCAGCTTGGAAAGGGAAGGAAAGGTGGAGCTGGTTGTTTCCAGTGGGGTTTTGTTCTTCGTTGACCTTCATTTGCTGTTGCACTATTTTCCTTGCAAGAGGATGCCAGAGAAAGAGGAAGGGCTGCTATAGACCAAGGCGGAGAGGAGTGTCAGCATCCAGGCAAAAGTAGTTTTTAAGAGCAAACATTCCAAAAAGAAGAAACAGCTGAACAACTTGCATTTCAAATGGGCAGATGGAGTGGAGTGACAGATGGGGAAGAAATGAAAATGTAGTTTTGTATATGTAGAAAAAATAAGCAATTTTGGGATTAGTTGCAGATATTGGAATGCCATTAAACTAGACCAGAATATCTAATATTTTAGCTTATGTGCTTTGTTTTGATAGGGATTATGATCACCATGGGATTTCACATTATGTGGGATCTTAAGATTCGTGTCGACATTACAACAAAATTTAGCATGAGTAGTTCCATTAAGGGGCCATGCAAAAAAATGTATCTACACTTAGGACATGTTCAAATACAATTTCCACTTTCAGTACCCCACCCCCTGCAGTTTTTAAAAGAAACTTATGAGAAATTCTTATCCTGTTACACCTGTCAAGACATTGAGGTTGTAAGAAACCAAAAACCATTTAGTAAATTCATTGCTGTGGCAGAGCCAGAATCAAAGACTTCTTGACTCAACCATGAGGCACAAGATTACAACCAGAAAGGGCCCACCAAAATATGTAGCAACATCGGCACAAGATTATAAAACGTCAACTATCTGTGCATGGCATTCACGGCAGGTGATACGATAAAAGCCACATTGCAACTGTCACTTCACTCTTGTAGTTCAAGGAGCAATGTGCTCCCCTGTTTCATTTCTGCTTCGCTGTCTGCTTTATAGCTTACTTCCAGTGGATAAGCTTGCCCAATATTTGCATGCAGCTGGCTCCTTCCTCCCCTTTATTTCTATGCAGCGTTAGCAAGATATTAAATCCTCCCACAAGCACCTGAATAACAAGGTGGAATAGCATATTAATTCAAGGCCAAACCTCTCATTCAAATGTTCAGAATAGGATTAAACTGAGTACATAAGGAATAAAAGCATGACAGTCCTGCCTCTCTATTATTGCTTTCCATGTGAGGAAGGTGATGAGGGGTAGTGCTGTTACACTTCCTTTTATTTTATTTATTTATTTATTTATTTATTTTATTTATACCCCGCCTATCTGTTCAAAATGACCACTCTAAGCGACATATAAAAAAAAGTGAAATGTACATATAACAAAAAACCAATATACTAAACAATAACAATTGGTAACTGACAATAAACAATAGACATATTTTTCAAGATGGCAATATAACAAAAAATAGATTAAAGAAGACGAGATTAAGTGTTATCTGGAGGGAAAGCCTGCTTAAACATCCGAGTTTTAAGATGGGTCTTAAAAATACCCAGCAACAGGGGCCCACGAATCTCTGGAGGAAGGTTGTTCCAGAGGCGAGGAGCCACTGCCGAAAAGGCCCGTTTTCTTGTTTTTTCCTTTCGGGCCTCCCTCGGCGTCAGGCTCCTCAGCCTCACCTCCTGACTCGATTGAGTGATCTGGGTAGCTCTTGGTGGGAGAAGGCATTCCACCAAATATGGAGGTCCTAAACCGTTTAGGGCTTTGTACGTAAGCATCAACACTTTGAAGATGCGGAACCGGATGGGCAGCCAATGCAGTGCGGCCAGAGTGGGTGAGATGTGTTGGTATTTTTTCACTCCACAAAGAAGTCTGGCCGCTGCATTCTGCACCACCTGGAGTTTCTGCAACAACCTCAAAGGCATTTTCTCAAATGTTATGTTCAAATGTTCTGCCAGGCTACTTCATATCCCAAAGCATGTAATGTCAAGTGCTACAGCCAGTGCAGCAGGCTATGAATATCCACAGCTTGTTCTGAGATAGCTTCCAATGACTTTTGACTCTTAGTACACACATTAGCTATTGCCTACTGTATTAATTCTAGGTATGCAGAAAGACAAGAGTACTTAAATGTTAAAATATATTCCTTGAAACATCCTTTACCGGCACCTTCTCAAAAGGAAATGTTAGTTTGAGACATCTCATTCTGGACATCGCCCTATACAGGTATTGCTTACCTGGTTTTATTTTCCAAAATGTGAGCAGGAGAGCACCTAAGTCCCTCCTTCTTTTTGTCATATTTTTCACATGGACGGTGAGACGTCTGTAGAGAAAGGAGCCCTGGCCATGTACATGCTCCCCACAGGAGTAAGAACCCTGGCTTTCCAGGACTACTGCCTGCATGGGGAGCCTGTACATGAGCCAGTACTCTCCATTTGAAAAAAAGTGATGCCTGAGAAGGCAGGATCAGGAATTCCCCTGCTCATACATAGGAGAAAACCAGGCAAGCAATACATCCGTAAAGCTGCCTCAATCATTTTGATTTCATCTGCAAAAACCCCTGAATAGAATAAATGCAATCCCCAAAATATCCAACCACCTGAGAACATAAGGCTGGACCACGGTGCTCAAGTTTGCTGATATTCTGGGACAAGTTAAAAAATTGGAGGCAATGCAGTCACTTGTTTAATAGGGGTAATATTAAGGTTGTCAAGAACAGACTGAATAGGATTGTAAAATTTATTATGTACCTCTTCACGTGTATACATGCATTTCTACATGAAATGGTTCTTTTCTCTACAAGCCATCCAAGTTTAGTAGTCTCTTGACAGAGTTCTTATACTCTGACATATTCTTCTCTGTCTCTCCTTCATTTCTCAGTGCTACCATCGACTTTTTGTAAGCCAAAACTATATCTGAGTCCAGAAGCTCCTGTCTGCTGACTTCCTGAGTTTTCTCAGCAGCTTTTATTCGAAGCAGTGTGTCTAAAGCATTCCTCTCAGAGGTGCTGTTTTCCCAGATGTATTCCTCCATGTCAGCCTCAGTCTTTTCTTTTTCCCACTCTTCCATTTTCTGAAAAGGAAAAAAAATGTTTTAGAGACAAAGCTGAAGGAAATGATCAATACTTCAGAAATTACTCCAGTCATTTAGGGTGCTGCCTTTCAAGAGAGTCTGGTGGTCTTTTGAGAACTTAGCAAAATGTTCCTCAGTGAGGCTTCTCAAGGACAGTTTGATCTCCCAAACTAATTTTCCTCTGTAATATGCAGCCACATGGGTAGAAACAATCAGACCCCCCACCCCATCCATGAGACCCATCGCACAGGGGTGCTTTGGAAAACACAAGTTCCACAAAGGACAAGATAATTTAGGGGTATCCCTGATGGTAAAGGATAAGATGGCAATGCTATGGGTATAAAGTGTTTTGTCCATTCTGCTGATAATAAGTGTCTTCATAGATCAAGTGTATATACTTATGCAGAGACTGACATAATATCAAAGCAAGTTCATTTCAGGATAGCTAAAGAAGTCTGTGAAGCATTTATCCTTTGCTATGTCTCAGAAACAGCTGACGAGCAAGAAGAAACCATTAAAAAATTAACTGAACTATTTGCTGTCATCTCAATGAAGCACCTTCATTAGCTGACAATCCCATCTGAAAATGCATTTGATCAACTATCTTTCAATCAGCCTATTAATCAAATATGCTTACGTTGAATCATAACCTATCTTGTCCCAAAGGGATGGTAACCAAAACTACCTCCAGTGGAACAGACTAAAAATTGATCAAAATCAGTAATGTTTCCATGACCATTCACAGCTTTATCCTAACACTATAAGGCCAGTCTGAAAGCTAGCTTTAAAAATCTGGTTTATAACTCTTGTTATCCAATGAGATTCTAGTGAGTCTTCAGCGGGAAGCAAGTTTCAGAACTGAGGCACAGCAGAGTTACACTCTTCTTTATTCCTTTGCTTCTTACCCAAAGCACAACAGTATCTGAAGCACACCGAAGGAGACTGGCTAAAGTATGATGAACATAGGCTATAATTTATGCTTGAGCAGACTTGAATACTATTTAATTATAAAAATATAGCAAAACCAAAACATTCATAGAACAACCAGGTACGACCTAGCTCCCCATATACTTCTAACTAACTGACCAAGCTTTTAGCTGGTTACCAATTAATGCTTGCTGCTTCACTTTCAAAAGTTGCCAAAGAAGCCTTCCATCCACTGTGCACAATAAATTGTGTTTACACGAGCCTTATGTTGGACCATACTTTCCATTATCCCCAGGCAGCATAGGACTCACAGGGGTTATGGCTTCTAGACAAAGGTTTCTAATCAGCTGTAAACAAGCATAAAAATTTAAAGGAGAAACAACAATGCAGTGACTGTTCAACAGTATCTCTGCTATTCCATATCCCAGTGGTTCCCAAACTTTTTCAATTTGGGGCCCCCTTGAGTAGAAGCACCAGAGGCAGAGCCGGAGCAACGTGGGGCGGACATGAGGCAAAGAAGCCAGAGCCGCACCAACACCTCAGCAAAGAGACAGAGTAAGGATTCTATGGTGCCCTTGGCTGGGTTTGGCAGCACCCTGGGGCACTGCAGCACACATTTTGGGAAGCCCTGCCTTATCCTTTCATGTTTCACTAGAAACGGTGCACTTCTGAAAGTGAAACTTTGTTTTCCCACTAGGTGGCAGCAAATATTCACCAGTGTAATTCTGGCATTGAGAAGTCAGTGCTAGACTATCCATTCAAGAATTGTCATGGAATTAACACTTTCTTCTGGAAAAACTCTTTATTATAGTTGCTTTCTCCTTGTTATAGTTGCTTCATTGTCAGCACTTAAACTATATGCCCCGGAGCAAAGTCTCCTCCCTGCTTTCATTCTGCTGATGTCTTGCTTGATGTTGATAATGCAAAATCCCACATATCAATCCTGTATGTTTACATATTAGTCTACAGCGAGATAGCTGTGGTAGGCAATTTCAGCAACAAGAAAAATAAAACAAAAAAAATTATGGCACTTTTAAGATTAATCAATATATTCTGGTGAGAGTTTTTGTGGATTACAATCCATTGCTTGTGACTGAAGAAATGGATTGTAAACTACAAAAGATCGAACTGAAATAAATTTGCTGAGTGTTTAAAATGCCACATCAGTTCTCTGTATTTTCTTGATATATATGCCCATGCCCCTAACAAGGCTTTGACAAGTTGGAGCTCAAAAAAAGTGAAGAAACACACCACTAACTGATTTATTGCTTTCCAGTAAATGGTATAAATAAAGCCCTGGGTCCTATAGATCCTGTTTTACTTGGTGTCCACTTTGAATAGTATGTTGAATATATGGCTTGGAAATAGGCTGATTTAATTAGAATTGCTTATAGAGAATGTTTGCCTTTGACTCTGGAACAGTGAGCCAGTTGTCTCAGTTGAGTCTGGATGATAAACTCTTGGAGCCCTCTCCCCTCTGGAGGTGAGCTTAAAATCCATTTGGGTGAGAAGAGGCCATACCTTTCCAAGAATCCTGAATTAGACCACATTACTGTGGTTGGATACTGACTGTAAGTTGCTCTGACTGAAAAACAAGGCCCGCATGTATGTATGCAATGAAATACAAAGACTCAGAAGCTATGATGAAGGACTTATTTCCACACAAGATGGTGATACTGATATGGAGAATTTAGTGGTAGAATGCTCAGGGTCAAATCCATTTTCATCCAAAACAGTTCACTAGATGACCCTATACACTTTATAGGGCTGCTATGGAGTTTAAATGGAGCCAGCCCTACATAGATCACCTTGCACTGCTTGGAGGATGGGCATAATAGAAAATTAAAAGTCCAAAGAACTCTGCCTTGTCAGAAATCAGCATTACAGGATAGGGAGAGTTATAATTGATATTCCCAAAGTCTCCTTGTGAGGAAGGAGTCACTTGCAACATACAGGAAGTGATCTGATGCCTCTTTGAAAGTGGGAGGGCTCCCACTGCTGAAAAGGTGCTCCTTAAAATATCTCCTATAAAAGAATAGATTTCTCCAGGTTTTAGCTGGTGGCAAGCCTTTTACTCCTCCTTTTCTTAAGAAAAAAAATGTCACTAAACCAAATTCAAGTGGGTCTGGGGAATGAAAGTATCTTCTAAATGACTCAGTGGTGGAGCTGTGTGATCCCACTGACTTTCATGGATCACTTCTTGATGTCCAATACTATTAAGCATGGCATCCTTCTGCATTGGTCAGGAACCAGAGGCATGACACAGTAATGATTCCATTTGTATCTACAAAGGAAAATTTAGATGGTAGTATTCAAGGATTTTTGTTCTAATCAATGGTATTCAATGTCTAGTTCAGCATCCTGTTTCCCAAATCCAGACCAACCAACCAAATACTTCGCCTAGAGTGGTCCTCACTGACCAGATAGGCGGGGTATAAATCAAATAGATAAATAAATAATAAATAAATATTATAAGAAATCCCAAAGCAGGATGTGATTGTAAGAGTTCTCAACTTTCTCTAATGCTGTTTAAAAGCTATGCAAAATTGCTTAGTGAGGTCATTTGGAGGTCTGAAGGAAGGCATCACCAGTATACTGATTACATCCAATTCTGCTTCCCCTTTTCATCTAACCCAGATAAAGCAGTGGATAGAACTGGCGCCTGGAATCTCTAACAAACTGGATGGTGGCCAATTAACTGAAGCTCAGTCTTGACAAGACAGGAGGTTCAGCTAGCCAACAAGGGTGGGCTAGGAACTTGTTTCTAGTTTGCTTTTGTAGAAGCCCCATTTATTGTAAAAGACGTGGTCTGCGGTTTAGTATTAGGGGTTCTTTTAGAACTCATTGTGGATAACCAACTCCTATCCACAACATGAACTTTCACTACTTCCGGTTAGTGTACTAGCAAAGTCCATTCCTGAAAAATATAGTTCCTCCTGTAGTTGTCTGGGCTTTCAGCCCAGAACAAATTAATCAATGCATTGTGAGGCAAACAGGATTACTTTGAATGCAATTCATTCATACTATCACCCATGTAGAAAAGTATTTTATTTTGATCCCTGAGCCAAGCTAGTGACCGTTTTCACACATTTTAGAATTATCAGCAACAAGCTAGAAAAGCTCTATTTCATCGTGTCTTGTTTTAGGAGCAATCAGTCTTTAGAGTCCTGACAATCATGTGTGAGATTGTTTGGATGACCAACCACATACACACATGCCCCCACATCCTGTTTAAGATTGTTAAAATGAAAGCTGCTTTAATCACAACCCCATGCATTACAATAATCCAAGGCAATGCCCCCAACTGAGTGGGGAATTAGGGGTTCTCTGCATCTTATCAAGCTTCCACAGAAACACTGGAACAGAGGAGGGAGGCTAACCTCATCCTCGCCATAATGAACTGGCTCAATACAGCTGAGATGGAGCACAGTTAATAATTCTCGTGATCTTGCCTGAAACTGCTGGAATAGGATGAGTCCTTACCTTCCTCCCAACTGAAGGTGAAATGGACCACTAGAGTTGGTGCGAAGTTAAAACCTCTCTGTACCCCAGCACTGCTACTGGGAAGAAGCTTTAATATTCACCTCCCCCCAGAAATCAGCTAGGAAAGCAGGCATGAAGGGAAGGCTCTTCCTCTTCCACTT